GTATAACACTTCGGCCTGGAGCTAAATTACCTTGGGAGTTAACTGCCTCCTGCCCTGCTTGGTGCACGAAGCAAGCTGTGCCGCCACACGAAAAGAAATCGTATATTACACAGTTTTTGACCAAGTTATTAAACTACATACCTTCGAGAGACAGAACCTCATCTTATAAAAGTCTAAGTCAATAAAGACACTAGGATTCTCCAACAGCGAAAACAGCAGAAGTGCACGAGAACAAACAAATATTACCTGATGCGCACAAAAGCTGCGTGATATTAAATTGAACCATTAGAGAAAATGGCTGTTTTCATAAACACAAATACCCCCTCGCCAAGGTTGGTCATCTCCTGATTTACATGCTGAGGTCTGCAGCCTCCAAATCCCCTTACCAGGTTGCCTTTTAAAAATGGCTCTGTTTAAAAATGACTTTCATCTGTCTGCTGCCCACAAGACCCCCGTCCTACCTGGACAGGAGCACCAACTGCGGCTCTGGTGACAAAATAGCCCATTTGGAAGATGGTGGAAACCTTTTTTTTTCCTGCCCATTTCCAGAAAAGACTCATCACAACCACGACTCATTTGGTCCCCATGATAGCCCGTGCCTATCGCTTTGGGGGTGCCATCAACTGGGGATGCAAAGGAGAGAATTTCAATGGAGAAGTGCCTGATTTATAGATGGGGGAAAAAAAAATATCAACGCATTTGCACCTGCTAATCAAGGTAGCTCTCCATCTCATTTATGCCACTGCTCCGGCGAACCTGACAGCACAAAAATCAGAGGCTGCTTTTTCCAGCATTTGGCCCTCGGGGACCGATTCTCCAGCAGGTCTCTTAAACGATGCCCGCGGAATGTGCAAGTGAATCAGTTTTGTGCATACAAAGCAGGTAATTGTGCTCACAAATCAGAATCTGCATATGCTGCTGAAAACAGCTGCTCTCATAAATGCTACCAGTGCCAGTGAGGGAGGCCAGAGAAAATCAAGCACTCCTGCATCTTACGGGGAGGTGTTCCGGTGCGTGGTACCAGCAAAGGCGCTGGCAACGTGCATCACATCTGTCCAAAATACAGAGAGCGAGGAGAGTTGACTGCAAGACCCAGAAGACGACAACAAACCGTCCCTGTTCTCGTTTCAATCAGCACAGTCAGCACCTGCCGAGAGGATAGGGTGTTTGGGCTGAACCTCTTCAGCCAAGGACCACATCCTGACCCTGCCAAGGTAGTTCCCTGTCCCATCCGATGTGGCGGCTGGGGCAAAGCCACTGTGGCATGTCTGCAAGGGGAAGACCTCAGCAGCATCCATTTATTTATGTAAATTATGTATTTATGCCCCTTTTACAAGGGCATATAGTGATAGGACAAGGGGCAATGGCTTTAAACTGGAAGCGGGGGGATTTCCATTAGATTTAAGGAAGAAATTCTTCCCTCTGAGAGTGTGAAGCACTGGAACACTGGAACAGAGTTGTGGCTGCTCCATCCCTGGAAGTGTTCAACGCCAGGTTGGATGAGGCTTTGAGCAAACTGTTTTAGTGGAAGGTGTCCCTGACCATGGCAGGGGGTTGGAACTAGATGATCTTGAAGGTCCCTTCCAACCCAAACCATTCTAGGATTCTATGTATGTGTGGTCCTGTCAGACCAACTGGTTTGGCTGTCTCCAAGGCAGGTGGGAAGGAGAAAGACAGTATTTTGCTCATGGGCAGATGTTGGTGCTCCTTCTGAAAAGCCCTGATGAGCAAGTGCTTTGCAACGAGGTTTTGAAATTTGTCAGAGGGCAGCAATCATTTAATTAAAGAGTGAGTCACACGGCAGAGACACCAGGGAAGGCAAATTAAGGTCAGGCAAGCAAAATGTATTTTGGCATTTCTTACTGTTTCAGAGCCTCCGTTTTCACTGCGGATTATTATTCATACTGAAGTGGCACTTGGTGGCTGGAGACATGAGTCAGCACATTGTACGGACAGATCTTATATAAAATTCCAGCCTAGAAGAAGTTTTCAGTGCTGGAAAGGGGTAGGTAAGAGCTCTAGTCTCACCAGACGGAGCACACATGACCTGGGGGCCTCTGTCCAAACGTGGGCCAGGAGCCCGTGGCACTGCCACCGAGGATGAGTCCTGCCCACAGTGGTCTGCCTGCCCTTGGAGCAAGGAAACTTTGGGACAAGGCTGTACCCACCCTGCCACGGAGAATGGCTCCAAGGGGAAAGCTGAAGCCAGATTAGCTGTAAACATGCTGGAGGACCTCAAAGCTGGCTCTGCTGCTCTTCACAGGGGAAACCTTCAATGCTTTCATCCTCCAGACAGGACAAACCTCACTCCATCCTCCTTATGGACACTCTGGCCAGCTCAAGAGGACAGAGGGCAGGAGAAACCCCCAGGACCCATAGCTTGGACGCTCACAGAGATGATAAAATCCTTGACCTGAAAAGGTTGAAATCTAGACAGGATTTATGTTCCATAGTAAAATCACAGGCCTGCCTCTTTCATGGTGATAAAAATAAATCACCCTTAAAAATAGAATGACACTAATAAAAATAAATCTAAAAATACATGAGTGCATCACGGAGTTACAATCTCCTCCCAGCCTGGCATGGAAACTTCTCATCACCTACAGGCTGGTCAATGGTGATGAAGTGATGATGAAGTCGTGCCCGGGGCTATATCCTGCGGTAGGGTCTCAAATAGGTTCTTCCAAAGGCCTAATTTTCAGTGGGTGGTTGCTCAGTTCTCACAAAGTTTGGACCTCTTAAGGGGGTCCCAGATTTAGGCTCTGCAAATCAGCAGCCCCACCAGCTGCTCCTGCCCTACCCCTACTGATCCAACTGGCACGGACTGGAGAAAGCTTCTGCTTCATCCACGTGCAAACTCCCAGGCTGGAGAGAGAGGGAAGAAGCCTATCGACAGATATTGGGTGAAGAACCTGAAGGTTCAGGTCAAGGCTGTTCTGCCCTCACCTCCCACCATGGGAACAGCAGGGAAGATGGGAACCAGGGCCAGGAGCTGCAGAGCAGCTGGCGAGGTTCAGATCCAGCACGGTGCTGGAGCAGAGCAGCTTCCGGGCTAACGAGCATCGCTCCCGTCCCCACAAATGTGATCTAACACATCCTGCTCAAGCATGGGGCATCCAGCGAGAGTGACAAGCTGCTGCGGCGAGCTGGGGAGCAGCAGCCGGGCCAGCTGGGGAGGACAGCTGCTCCTCACAGCAGAGGCCATGCAAGGATTAAATCAGCCCTGCTCGGTGCCAAGGACAGCATGGGCTGGCGAGTGGAGCCACGGGGCTCCTCCAACCGGGAAGTCATGGTCTGGCTCCATACGGTCTCCCCGCGGTTTCTGCTGGAGGCAGAGGTTTGGTTTTTTCTCTCCTCCTGCCCTGAAGCAGAGGACAGCTGGATGCACCTTCCCTCTCCCGCAGAGGTGGCTGCATTTCGCTGATGCCTGAAATGATCCTTCTGCTCAGTGACATCTGGATGAGAAGAGCCTCCTCCTGCACCATCTCCATCTGCCGAGGTGGCTGCTGTCACCTCCCAGCCCTTCCTGGGACAGTAAGTGATGCACAGGGCTCGTCTACATGGGGAATTCATCCAGTGTAACTATTCTGCTGCAGCGATGCCTGGCAGCACCTCCGTGCAGACGAGCCTTGAGGAGCAGGAGTACTAAGAAGAGAACATTGTCTTGACCAGGAAAATGGATTTATGAAACCAAGTTCAGTATTTGCATCTCAGCTAAGCAGGGAGGGATGAAGACAGCATCACCCCACCAGTGATCAACACCTCTACTCATAGAATCATAGAATGGTTTGGGTTGGGAAGGACTTTAAAGACCATCTAGTTCCAATCTCCCTGCCATGGGCAGGGACACCTTCCACTATACCAGGTTGCTCAAAGCCCCATCCAACCTGGCCTTGAACACTTCCAGGGATGGGGCAGCCACAACTCCTCTGGGCAACCTGTTCCAGTGTTCGTTACTCGCAGCCACGAGTCTCATACACAACACACAGTGAAGAAACCCTCCTGGCTACGAGAGAAGTGGCTCACGCAGAGGGCCGGGGCTAACCTGGGAACGGTACTTGTCTGCAAGGAGACGGGGGGGTTGTGTGCTCTTTCGATGCAGAACATGCCAGGAGCAATAGGGCCACTGGTCTCCATGCCACCAGGAATGCATCCCACCTGAGGCGAGGCATTGGGGAGCAGAAGCAATGCTGACTGCTGCAGAGGGCACGGCACACCCTGACATACGAAAAGCCAGCATGGTCCCACACCAGCTGAGATGTCACCTCCCGAGGGCCAGCCATCAGCTGGGGTCACGGACTTACTTCGCACCCACGCAGACCCCTGCCTTCATTCACTAGTTGCACATTTGCTGTTTTCTGTGTTCCTGGCTCACTGCAGACTCCAGATCCCCGTTTGTCACCCAGGAGCACTCAAGCCAGAAGGAAAGGTGACACTTCTTTGTGTGGCCCCACATCTCAGAGTCCCAGCAGGGCTGGCTGCTGCTTCACAGGGGCAGCCTTTGTGTTCAAGCAGAACATGCTCAGCGAAAAGGTTATTTACAGATGAGAAAAGATGGCAGGGTCCACAACTCCATGAGGAAGGGTTGAAGGAGAGATCTGACCTAGGTGACCATCAGGCAGGAGCACTAATGCAGCGCTAAATGGTGCTCTGCAGTGGAACGGTCAAAAAAACAGGGATGGAGATGGGGCAAGCTCATGAGCAGGTTTTCCAGACTGGACAGCAAAATAACACAATTTAGAAGCAGATAAACTCCACATTCCTGCAGTTGTCACACCAAAGAACTGATAGGTCCACCATTTCAAATTCCCATCCTTGTGCCCACCTTCTTTATACTTTGCTGATGGGGGTCACCACTGTGTGATCCTGCTGGTACCTCTCAGCCCTCCTTCAGCTCACCTCTGCGTTAGCCTGAGTGGGCATCAAAATATCCAGAGACAAACCTTCTCCCTCCCATCTCTGAACTTTGCAAGGTCTTCACTCTTCCCCCACCTCCTTACCTGTCTCTTGGTCACACAGTTGTTCACAGGCATCGGTGGTCCTCTGTCCACAGAGGTCTCTCACCCAGGGGGACGTGGCATTGATCTGATAGTACAGGGACAGCTTGGCTGGATTAAGCCAGTCGGAGATGTCCAAGTAGCTGCCCTCACTCACAACAAAGCTGCTGCCTGGAGGGTGGAAAAAAAGTATGTTAGAGGAACTTAAAAAGAAAAAAGAAAAAAAAATAATATGCAATTTGATCAAATACCGAAACACTCTACTCTTCAGAAGCTGCTGCGATGCCGAGATCAGCAAAATAATACTGAGTTCACTAATGCTTGAACCCAAAGAACTTCATTTGACCATTCGTCTCCATACGAACATGCCCCAATGAATGTTCCACCAGCTGGGAGACTCCTCTGCCCAGACACTCCCCCACCCCTGCTCAGCATCACGAGATACTGGACTTGATTCCCAGATGTCTGCAGAAATATGGACCAGTGTAATTATTCGGATCCGTCAGATCGGAGCATCACTTCCCCAGCTCACGCAGACGGTGTCCGCAGACGCCTGGGTGCCAGGCTCCAGGCAGGGATGGGCAGGGGCAGCACGGGCTGTTCCCACTTCAGTTCTTTGGTCGAAGGTGAGTGAATTGGCCCAACGCACAACTTCTCATATGAGCAGTCCCATATCAGAGACGCTCCTTCACCCTCTCCCTCCGGAGAGTCAGCAGTGAATTCCTGCCAAAAATCTTTTCTTACAAAATCTTACGTTTCTTTATTTTGTGAAAAGTATTTTTCCCCACTGGCATCTGGGAATATGCATCATCTAATTAGCCAAATAGATTTTCAGTTCAGCCCAATCATTTCCTTATCTAACATCTGAGGCCCAGCATCGCTCGGGGGATTTTGCAGACACAGAGGTCCTCATTAACTCTGATCTTCAATTACATTGATTATAAGACTGCCTCCATAACAGTGCTGCACAGATCAGAGGGGAGCCAAAAAACCTCTGCCATTAAGTGGTGTTTTGCAAAAGTTACCAGGGTAAAAGCCTCTTAAAACAGGGGAGAAGAAACCCTCAAGTAGGAGTGGGCAAGGGGAACTCCAGGTAACGCAGGAACCAGCAGCCATCCTCCCACTAAGCACTAGGACTGGCAAACGTGAACAAAATCCACAACCACTATCTGAAGATTCAAATCTTTCTTAGCAGTCACCCAAGGATGGCAAGTCTATAGATCCATGGTGTATTTTCATGTAACTTCAGGGCTTGTATCACTTAGTAACTGACTGGAACATAATTTTTCTAAGCACTGCTGAAGATCCTAGCTCAAGGAAAGCCAAGAGATTAAAAAAGTGTCACCAGAAAACCGTAGCAGCAACCACCCCACGTGAACCTGCTTGAACACAAACTCCTAATTTCCTTTAGAAGAGCATCACTGATGCTTTAGCAAGAAGAAGCCCTTCTAAACCTCATCCCATGCCACATTATCCATGCAGAGAACAAGTATCCCGGTGAGCGACACCGTTTTCAGGCATCCTGAGATCTCAGCACCATACAAATCTGGGCTCTAATTCCACGTGAATTCAAATCTTCTACACTTACACTGTTTATACACCATGAACATATTCACAGACGCATCTCTACGCTCAAAGCCGATGGAGGCTGCCAAGCTTCCGACTGTTCAAGCAAATGAAAATTAGACATCCAGGATCCAGCTGCTCTGGAGACACAGCAAGGCAGGAGCTGCCTCACCAGGGCTGCAGGATACGTCTCAATCAGACACACGGCAGCAGCAAATCGCCGGGTAAACTCCACGGCACCAGTGGAAAGCATCGAAACACTGACCACAAAGAAGTACCTGAAAGCCACTTAATTTTATTTCTAATGATCATTCTTTTCCAGGAATATTTAAAGATAACTTTAAATACCGACGATAACTAGTGCTGCTTTATTTTACCAAACAGAAATGCATCACACACCCACTGGTGTGACGTAGTAACCTGCCAATCTTGCTTTCTTCCTTATTTTTGTAGTTCCCTAATACAGAGCGAGGCTTGGGAGGCACGTAAGCACGTTTGGAGGCTCAGCTACAGACAACTCCCTCTGCACCCAAAGACTGAAGAGCGAAACCACCAGCTCTCCATTAAATCCCTACCTAATGAACCCCACTTCTACTTAAAATACAGCCAGTCAGAAAGTGCCAGAAGTAAATCAGACATTAAAAAGTCATATAAATAATTAGTAATCATAAAGACAAAGGTGACTTGAGCTGGCAGAGCGTCCTGGGCCAGGGGCTGCTACATGAAGGGGACCCCATGGTGGGGGTGGGCGATGGAGGGGTGACCTCAGGAGCTCCCCACCAGCCCCAAATACTGAGCTCCTCCAGGAGAAGGAAGCACATTCATGGCCCTGCTGCCAAATTTTCATTTCCTTCGGAAAACCCAGCCTGCTTGCTGCTGGGAGTACAAAAACCCCAACAAATACCTATTTACGGAAGTACCTCCTAAATCAATACCAAAATGTGATATCCAGCCAGGAGCCAATAACTTCTCTTTCAGCAGAAGTTTGGTGTCCGTGTAAAACCACAAATTTGGGAAGCCTGAAATAATTTGCAGATTGATCGAGTTTTGCCATATTCTGTATACAGAATAACCTTCCCAAATATAATGTAACTGTAACTTAAATAAAAAAGAAAAGTCCTCTATTGGTTTTAGTAAGTCTGATTGAGAAATCATCCTCAATATCAAAAGTCTAAAAAAATATAAGGAGAAGTGAAAACATTTGAATCCAAAATCCCTGAATTCAAGTTCAGTTTAAATTGAAGGTTTTTCTATTTCAGTTAAAAAAAAAAAAAAAAAGAAAAACCTGGGGAAATGAAAGGGTTTAGTTAATTGTAAACACTTTATTTCCTTCCTAGGAGGAAGGAGAGACAACTTCCAGCAAGGAAACTTCTCACATCTTGGAAGCTGAGCGTGTTGCAGCTCAGCTGGGTATGGTTTTGAGAGGTGTTCTCAGACACTCTCATCCCCTTCACTCCCATTGAAAACACAAACAAACATCCCAACCTTGATCCCTTCATAACTTGCCTGAGAAAAAAAATAACAGGAAAAGGCATTTTACAAATGTTTTGAAAGCTAAAATTCTGAAGATTTCAAAGCCTTTTCACACAGTTTTTCTCTTTATTTTCAAAGAATCCACACACAGAAAACGCTTTTCAAAAGCCACTAGCATGCACTTATCAAAACCATCTTGAAAAGCTCGGAAAGGGCAGGTCAAATATCAAATCCTTTCAGAAACTACCAAGAACAAACATTTTCTAACCCAGAGCCATTTCAAACATCTTTAGCTTGCCAAGAACATCAGCCAGGTTTGCTTTCACCAACGTGCTGTCTGCCAACAGAGAGAAATCGAGGAGGAGGGAAGGGGGGTGATAGGGAACCCCAGGGGCTCACGCCACCGGGGCAGTGCAGGGTAGACCCCCCTCCAAACCACCCTCTGAAAACCTGTCTTGAGGACCTCAGACCCCACCAAATCGCCCTACACCTGCACCAAGCCTACAGTTTGGTGCACACCTACACTTGCTGCCTGTGGAACCCAGGAGCAGATCCCAGCAGAGACACTTTCCAAAAACACCCAGAGAGACTGCCCACCCCACTGTCCTCTGCTGCTAACCCCGTTCCCTCCCAGAGGTCCTCCTGGACACAAGTTTTGAGCCTCCCACTCATAAGCTCTGTGAAATCCTCCTTAAACAGAGACATGCAGGCCCCAGGGTAAAGCAACCATCAGGATAAAGCACCCATCAACCAAACAAGGGAATACAATGATGAAACGGCAGCTCTCCACCCACCATCACCACCTCCTCCCAGGAATCCCCATTGTAGGACATGTCCTTTGAGCACTGTTGACTTCCCAAGCCAGTCTACGGGATAGAGCAGCATTGCAGTGCCATGGAGAACATTGCTACACAGCTACACCACCACTCCCCGCTCCACAAGGTCCACCAGCACTTCGGGGGATTGATTTTTTTGCGGTTTTGTATGCATTTGTTTTTCACACACCCCCCTTCCTTCTCCAATGCTGATCAAAGCCAGATTAGTTAAGGCAGCATCAAAAGTTCATGTCTCTCATACTGGGGTCTCCTTCAAAGTTCAGTGGAACTACTTAAGCCTTGACAAAAGAGGCTTGAAGTTTTGACATTTCAAAAATCATTTTCCGTAACACAACAGGATAAAACAGCTCAGAAGAAATATCTAACAAGGGAAAAGAACAAAGCACACAAAAGGCAGCTGAAAGGGTTTGGTTTTTCCTTTCACTCTCTCTCTTGTTTTCAAGGGAAGAGATCAAAAACTAATTTTTTTGAAGAATTTCTGTTTCTTTCTCCCTCCGCTCTTTTTGTCTTCTTTGGTCCATTTGCTGTATCTTGGCCAGCGAAACTCCCTTTCATCTAAAATTAGTATTTAGTGTTGGAAATCCAAAGGAGGTCATGTTACACGTTGCTATTAATGCATCCATCCCTATACTATCCTTCAATTATAATCCTGTTATAGAATTATTTTTTTAAATGCTAGAGGAAGGATTATCTCTCTTGCTCCATTGTATAGGTACAAAGAATAACCCCATTTGATTTCTTTAGAGACCTTTTCTTTTACCCTTGTTAAACTTGAAAGAATATTTCCCAAAGAGACAACTCCTCCCCTATCAGCTCTTTCCATTGATCAGCTCTTGCCCTCCTGTCCTGGCCCTAGGGAATGAAATATTCTGCTTCTTAAATTTCTTTCAGAAAATGCAGAAGAGCCAACCAGACGTTGGATTTTCATCCAAGACACACATATATTGACTTAAGGAAGCAAACAGGGCTTGGTGCAGGATTGCTCCCATAGACTAACGCGGTGCTCAGCTTTACCACCCCTCTCCTGCTTAGCACAAAACTAGGTAATTTTGGAATAATTTAAATTCTTCAAAGTTTAATTCTTAATTTTACATTCTAATTTGAATCCAGGGATAGCATCATACCAGGTTAAAATCCAAGCTATCCACTTCATCTTGTTTTTCAAACGGTTCCTCTCTTGAACAAGATGAGATGCTTAAACAGAAAGTTACAATAGCAAGTTTTTAAAACAAGAAAAGCCTACAGACATGCCTTTCGTTTACTCTTCCATCAGCCAATGTGCGTACAGTTGGTATC